ACTGATAAATATCACGAAAAAATGCGGACTCAGCACCTTGATAAGAGGAAAAAATAACTCTTCTTTCTTGAACAGAACGTTCGTCGCGATTATCGTGCGGCATTAAAGATACCTTGTTATTTCCTGAATTTCATATTCTAACCTGTACGCGTTGTCATACTCGTCATCGCGAGATGAAAGTATCGTGAGACAGACCAGTGACAAATATGGCATTATGTCAACGTAGAAAATCTTCGTAACGATCTCCACGTGAATAAAGCTGACGTCAATGAGCAAGAATTGATCTTGTTTACTCGTGGTTGCGCGGTTTTTTTCCCCGAAAAGACATGGGATCGAACGAGGAGAATAGACTTGCAAACGGCGACGTTCGGGTACACAGAGACGTTGATTGGGCTAGATACGGTTTACGTGATCCAGAGACGCAGGAAAACGCAAAGAGGAATGATGGAGATGATAACAATGCTCTTGGTCCAGAAATGTATCAAGCCGGTGCAAACGAATTGTTCGCGCAGGAATATGTAAGAAATATGTGTGACATAATAGAAAGTTAAATTGATCCAGTGTGTCTTATAGTATTACTCTTTTGTATTTATCATAGAGTTCGGATCCTTGGTGGAAATCGAACTTTTTTATCTCGCAGCCTGTGTTGTTTGGCACCTGGGATGGCGTTTTTACATCTTGTCTTATTAATATATTTGGTGTAATTGTATTTCTGAGATCTGGCTGGATAGTCGGTCAAGCAGGTGCTTTGAATGCGGTATTAATCATCTTTTGTACAGGTAGTATCATTACATCAGTAAAAGATTAATTATGAAATCTGTTCTTTGTGGTTAAATTAGTATATACTTATTGTACTTAAAATGAAATAGATATATATTTGAAGTTTGGCGAAAACGAGATAAAAAGTTTTAGTGCTGTCCAGTCAGTGAACTCTACAATATACTAGAGTATACTTTCCTTGTACATACTAAATTATAGAAAATTACTACTTGACAGAGAGAATAGGAAGGCAAACAAAATTTGTCTCAAAAGAAAACGAAGAAAGATTAATTGTGCAAGAAGTTCACTCCAGGAAAATATAGAAAAAGAATATATCTAAATATTTGTTTTTCTAATTCTTTTCTGTAACTTTAGCCAATCAATGAGACCCTGACAAAGAAAACAGTACAATTTTTGCATCAAAATGTCGTTTTCTAGGAATTGGAATACTTTTACTTCTTGAAGGATACTGCAGAATATTATAGAGCTTACTGACTTCACTACGGTGACAAAGAACAGGTTTATGTAATATATATAACTAATACATTTATATTATTAATTCAAGAGATACAATAGAGTTTTTCCCCAATTATATCTTTTGTAAAGTATATATTTTCATGAGCGAGACGCTATAAACGTATCTTCCACAGGAATAAGAATATTTTTTTTAAATAATACATTTTTTTTTTAAATAAGTTGATGCAAATATTAGGAGAGATTACTGTGTACTGTAATGATTTCAGTGTGTATCGCATTGGTGACAGTACTGTCAGCTGTGGGTATATGTGAACGGAGTAGAGTCGAAAGTGGTGGAGTATACTTTCTCTTGTCACATGTACTGGGTTCTAGATTTGGTGGCTCCATCGGATTACTTTACTGCTTCGGGCAGGTAGGAACGAGTAAACCCATCCTTCCATTTTATCAGCGATTCCAAGAATCGGTTTGTGGATTTTATTTCAGGCGGTGGGTTGTGCTCTAAACGTTTTAGGTTTTGGGGAATCAGTGGCCGGTCTTGTAGGTTTGAATTCAGCATGGACACAACGCGGCTTTGCGTGCGCAGCCGTTGTATTATTGTCCGTAATTAATGTGGCTGGTGTTAAATGGGTTATAAAATTGCAATTTATCCTCTTGCTTATCCTACTCCTCGCTGGAGTTGATTTCATGGTTGGAAGTTTTACTCATACCAACATTGGTAAGATACCATATCGTATTGTATTGTATTATAACAGAAAATAACAATGTGTTATGTAATACAGAATTTTGTAAAATGCTTTGTGCTTTGTGTACGAGTATAGCTAAAGTAATTTACTATTTACTTTTGCAGATTCTGGTTTTGAAGGTTGGCTTTCAGGAAATTTGAGGAACAACACCTTTCCCGATTATCAAGATGGATATAACTGGTTTACTGTATTCGGTGTATTCTTTCCCACGGTCACCGGTGTTTTAGCTGGAATTAACATGAGCGGAGATTTGAGGCATCCATCTAGCGACATTCCCAATGGTACTTTAGCGGCATTGGGAACTGGGTAAAATGAATTGTCTCTAATGTGAATTATTTTGGAAAGTTTTTGATCTTTGCATTAAAACGATTGTTATTTGCAGAACATTTTTATATTTATGCTTTTCGTTAACTCTCGCGGCAACTTGCGTCAGAAATGCTTTGCTTATCAACTTTACCATAGCATCGACGGTATCAGCAATCTCAGTGTTACTACTCGCTGGTCTGTATGTATCATCGTTCAGTAGTTGTTTAGGTGCCATGTACGGCACACCTCGCGTTCTCCAATCTATCGCCAGTCAAAATGTTATACCAGGAATGAGTTGCTTGCAAAGAGGGGTAATTATTCTTGTTGATATTATTTGTTATATATTTATTATAAATTTGTCTTAGATATAATAAATAACAAGAGAGAGAAAGAGGGGGGGGAGGGCGGGGGGGTTATTTTATTTCACACTTAAGAAAATTTATGATTTTTTCATGTATACAATTCTTTTATATCATAATTTATTAGAATAACAATTCTGTTTTCAGAGAGGACCAAATAAAGTACCTGTTGGGGGGGGGGGGGGGGGGGGGGGGGGGTTATTTTATTTCACACTTAAGAAAATTTATGATTTTTTCATGTATACAATTCTTTTATATCATAATTTATTAGAATAACAATTCTGTTTTCAGAGAGGACCAAATAAAGTACCTGTATACGCTATGCTGGTTGTTGCAGTAGTAACGTTGACTTTCATCATTACCGGACAAATTAATACACTCGCTCCAATTGTGACGATGCCATTCCTGTTAACATACGCCTGCTTAGATTATGCATACTTCGCTCTCGCACAAACGTTTGATCTTCGGCATACCCGCGAACAACGATTCCGTTCGCAATCTCCGACATTTGATCGCAATTATGGCTCCGCAAGTAGGAACAACTTGATAATTGATATGGATAATGATTTGGACAGTCTGTTTCCCGAGAGAATAAGACATAAAAATCTTATGGTGAGAAATCACATGTATCACAGCGAAGCACATATTATTATCTCTTGAAGATTTATCCAGTAATATTTATTGACATTTACATACAGAGAAACAACAGTATTTCTGACAATAATGTATATGTGGATTCATCGCCAAGTATCGAGGATAATGCCAGTGTTTCCGGTACACCAGAACGAAAAGTTCACATTCATAATAAGCTAGGAAATTGGTATAGTCCTTTGTGCAATAGATGGTTTTCATTATTGGGTGTAAGTACTTATTCATTGATAAATCGTTACTTTCTACGAAATACATCACTTTTTCACGTTAAAAGATCTATTCTCGAAATATCTAATTATATTAAAGATTAATGTAAGTACATTCACATTGCAGTGCCTTGTAAAATTGCTTATAATGTTTCTCGTACACTGGGGATATGCGATCGCTAATATTGTCGTCGTTTTTCTCGTTTGGAGTTATGTCGGCCACGCTAATCCTGCTGTAAAACCTGGAATTTCTGCGGAATTCCAATTCTTTAAATGGTTTCGAATTGCATTACTTCGAATTATGGGGTAAATTTAATTATTTATTATTATATACAATTATTTTGAATTGCTAAATTCAAAACTCATAAGGATTGAAATTAAACAGGAAATAATTAATTTCTTTTTTTTTCTCTTAAGAATTGATTATATCTGATTATAGAGTGCTTAGAAAAAATATAGTATAAAGATTTCTTTAGAAGTAAATTTTGTATTTTATATTATAGGAGGAAAGTTTATGATTACGAGCAGATAGTAGTAACCCCGGTGCATCCAGGCGTTCAAATGTGTTCGGCTCAACTGAATGAAGAGAATGAGGATTTCTCCGGAAGAAGAAGATATCATCAAACGGCTACAGTTACAGGTCAATACGTTAATGTCGACTAAATGTATGAAATTATGTGATCTTTCCGAAATTATCAATTGCGTGAATTTATATGCTATTCTAGTAACAAATAGTAGCGCGTCTTTTTCAGTGGCAAGAACAGATTATGAACGCATATATAATGGCTAATATTTAATATAATACTTTAAGACTTGATAGGAAGCAGCTTACAGCAATCTTTAGACAACTATCATTTCCACTTCTCATTTTATAATATTGTCAATCGCGCAAACAGCTAGTCTAACTTATTTAATGTGCATATGAAGTGCATTTAAAGTGAAATGCAGTATAATTGCAGCTTTAAAAGCAGTTTTTAGCAATCAATGGGATCATATGTAAAATTGATTGTATGAAACGTACAAAGAACTGATGTAATGGTAGCGTTAGATTTTGTAAGTATTTACTTATCGCGATTGACGTACAAGGATAATTTACAAAAAGAAATTATTTATCCTTACAATGTCATAAGACTTGTCGGACATCTGACAGAAAATATTTACTTCATCTGATGTTGAAGATGATAATATCCGCGAGAATTTATCGTCTTTGATGTGAGATTACTTTTTACAATTGAGTTTTTACGTTCAGAAGTTAATCAAGTGATAATGACAAGTGTACGGCAATCGCATCGTGCATAAAAATACTCTGTAAATATATATCTGATAATATATTTATACACTATTTAACACTTTTATAATTCTCGTACAAATGCACGAACAATTTTGTAATTACAGAAAGGAATATATATGTATGTGTGAAAGGAAATCTAATATAATTGTTGTCAGTTTTTCTGTTTGCTCTATGAATCGTTTAATCTGCTAAAACAAATGTTAACAAAAATAAGTTTATTTTTTTATAAAGAAATTACTATCTTTTCAATTATCAATAACGAACTAAACGATATAAAATTTGACTAAAACTACACTATCATAATATTATTATTATGTGTGTTCTTAGACGAGTACTAGAGTGTCTAGAGTAATAGAAGGTTGTTCAACGATTATGATAATGTATTAAGAAAAAAAGTCACACGATATATATTAACGAAAAGAAATACAAGCCGTTCTTTCTTCGATAATGTATATTTATATAACGATAATCTTATATTATAAAAATTATTTTACAGCAATCAGCGAATATATATTTCTCTTATTGCAAAACTTCTTACATTGTTTCAATCTCTATCCTACAGACGAGACTATTAGGTCAGCGACCTCTCGATCTTGACAAAGAACAGATAGTTGCATCGTAACCTGCGTTCCACTCAGCGCTAGTCTAGCACGTGCTAATATTTCCTTTCCTCCTCGGAAGACGCCACTTAGGAGCAAAATGTGAGCAGCTGCTCCACTCTGTACTTTATTACTGCGTTCAACAGCTTCTAACCCCAAAAATCCCGTAAGACTCTGAATCGCTCCTTCTAAAGACGTCACTGAGGCTCCCAGGGCGAATGTTTCTTCTAACTTGGCATATCCTTTTGCAGCGAATGTATCCCAAACGGTATTAAAGTCCATACCTCTGTTACTAACGCCACGTATTTGATCGGCTACAGTAACTTCCAAATCTTCCAACTATATAAAAAATCATACATAATCATATATTAATTTTATGAATAGTTTCGTTTTAACATAATATAAAACGAATAATCATTTAAATGACTATTTTTTTCTCTCAATGAGGAAAAGTATAATTAATTTTGTGTTAATGCATTGCCTATAGAGATATTTATATGACAATTATTTTCGCACTAATCTTTTACCATATATTCATCGTGGTATCCTTGTTCTGCATCTGGTATTCCCGTCGTTGGATCGCAATCTCTTGCCATAAATCGAAGTGTCGTGGGAATGGTAACGACGCTCGCTTGTATATCTTCTGGGTATTTTAATACTGTGTAGGTGGTTCCTGGCTCATTGTAAGATAATCGAGGACACGGTACCACGCATACAATAGAGTAACTGAAATAAATAGTTCGTTACATCGTGTCATAAAAATGCAAGGAACATTGTTTATAATCAATAAATGCATTTACCTTTCGGGAGGTTCAATGGCCACTACCACATCTTCGAGGAGTTGATCGGAGAGCGTGTTCACACAGTCGAACTGTAAAATAAGATACTCAGGGAATGTATGTTTGATGCATTTGACATTGTATTCTGTTTCGGATTCTGTCAATTCAAACACCGGCGAGGATTTTAGGAGCGACGTGTCTTGTATGATCATAGCTAAATGTGGGATCTGCGATAATTTCTCCATGAAGTTTTCTTCTCTGGTCAAACGAGGCTGCTTGATAGTAGTGTGCACTTCCACTTGAGCTGGTTCCTCTACCGTCTGAGCTGGAGGTATCTGTGTAATGCAATAATTATATGAATAAACTTAAAAATTATTTTTTAAATCAATCAGAAATTTTCTAAGATAGCACAATTCCAATTTCCATCCATCGCTACATTTGCATTCATTTACTTTTGGCTTTTCGAATATAAACAGAAATTATTAAAAATTATTAGAAACAGAAATGCAAATAAAATTTTTTTAAAATTATTAGGAACATAATAATATTATTAATGTTGACTTTATCTTTTTGCAAGATGCTTATGTACGTGTATAGAAGATAATTATCTCGCCTTTATGAGCGAATTTCTCAGAAAATTGGAGAAAATACCTGAGAAATGTCGAATGAATCTTCCATGGGTGTCTGTATGTAATTTTTTAAGGCCCTTTCCAGTGTCGGTATGGACAGCAAAGGCGGCTGTATCAGAGGCAATATAGTCGGATCGTTCTGTTGCCGCAAAATCGTACAATAGTAAGCCGCACGATCGCGAACCTCGTCGTCCGAGTCCAACTGGCAACGTGAGAGCAACACCAACACGTTCGGAAGCAAGGGTGGACAGGCGGCAGCGAAACGTGCCAATGCGGTAACGGCTGCTGCTCGCACGCTAGCGCTTTCGAGGATAACGCGATTGTAGATAAAACGGATGTATCTCGACGGTTGTTTCGACGTGGGTCCCTCCTGGCCAAGTAAATGCAAAATGCGAACGGCGAGAGAGATGTGCTCGCAATCTTCGATGAATTCGCAGAGATGTGCGAGTCCCGCTTCCTTGGCTTCTGCATTTCCTTCCATTACGGCTATGATGGTATCAGCGATCGCCGCTTTATATTCCAGCCCGCCCTCATCTCTTAGCATAGCCGAGAGGAAGTTCATCAAAACTGCGTGCTTGCGAGGGAACTTTTGACACAGAGCCCTGAGAGAAAAAAGAGATTTTAGAAGAAATGATATACATATTAGCGAAGTTATCATATAATTTGCAAAATGTGAAATTTACCTGATGGCTTGGACTACTACGACCTTAAATTCATCCGAAATTTCCGAAACAAAGGTGGCGATCTGCTTCATGAGACGGTCAACGGAACTCTCTGCTCCGGTCTTCAAGAGGGTGGTTATTGCCAAAGTGGCAATCGATCTGTTTGAGTCTGTGATCAGATTTTCCAGATCCAGATTGCAAGCTGTGACCGCTGCTGGATGAGACATCGCGACTTTGTTGAGAGTCCTGACTGCGGCAAATCGAAGTGCTGGCTTTGGCGAGCCACAGAACAGTTGCAGGACGCTAATCGCTGGTCCAATTTCTCTGGCACCACTTCGTCCAAGATTGACTAAAGCATGCGCTGCCTCATACACCACCATTTCAGATTTATGGCGTAGACAGGATTCGATGAATCCTATCAATTCCTCGCCTTCGTCCACCTCATCCAATAATTTATATGCCATTCTAATCAGCATACAAGCCGCATAAGGGCTCTTCGGGCTTGTCCTCATAAGTTTGGCAACCAGCTTGATTACCGCATGCTTGTCTGCCTTACGTGCTTGATACAAAACACCCAGAGCATGATACTGGACCATCACATTGTCACAATTTAATGCCTCCTGAGCCTCATTTGCCCATCTCCTTGCAACGTCACTGGATACGCTTGTCAAATGCAAGGAAGAAACAAGAGCAGCGCTGGACACAGCTGGTGAGCGATCAATTATGGCTTGCTTCATATAACGCTCGATTGCTGCCAGCATACTACCGTCGGTAATGGTGCAGAGTGCTCGAATAGCGGCAGCCCTGTACAAATCCTCCTTTCCTGTCATATCTTTTGTTAGACTGGACGTGACTATAATCACATCCTCGGCTAAGGAACTCAATTCTTTGATACCCAGATAGACCAGTCGTCTCAATATAACATCACGCGACTGAAACAGCTTGGTCATAGCAAAGAAAGCCTCCGTGGCTTCCGTCGTACCTAATTGTTCGCCCTGGTTGAGTAGATACAGAATTTTTGTGAGAATGTGGGCACATTTTCTCGGATTTACAGGCGTATTGTTAAATGTACGTGCTTCCTGAAGAACTGTGGTCTTCTCCAAGTTTTGAAATGGGTTTCCACCGCCTTGATAGATAGAAAAAATATGTCAGTATTCAATAATCATAAATACTAAATTCTAATAAGATCTAAAACACGTATAATTTTAAAATGTATACTCGTAGGAAATTATTACAAAACTTGATATATAATACGATGTCTATACTTATTATAACACTTGTTACTTCTGTAAAAATGTGTTTACTTGTAATTGTCAGAAACTACCTGATAACCTATACGCGACTTCTAATTCTCCCTCGCGGATAACACTCGCGTTAAGAATATTAGGAATATTAATTCATAATTACCGTCCTCCTCCTCCTTTTTGTCACGCTTAAACGTAATCATATTTCAATATGAATAAAATTTCGGATGACGAAAAGATACTACGACACGTCAGCTCCTCAACGTATTCTAGACGGCCATTGCAGTTTCTATCTTTCACTGTCTTTCCTACGGAGCAAGGTACGTGGAGCACGAAGAAGACACGTACGATTCGAGTAATTGAAAATGAATTACATTCGTGAATTAGATTGTTAAGGAGAGATATACATGCCGGAGAGTAAGGCAATTACTAATGAGATATTATTAAAAACCGTGGGGAACTCTGAATTTTTGTGATTATCAATATACATAGGGCTTCGAAAATAATTAGTTTTTTATATTAGTGACTGTTGATAAATATAAATCTACAATCGTTATCATCCATAAATATCGATATTATCAATTATCAATAAATCTAAATTTTGCTGATTATTTATCAGGATTATTAATATATAATACTTCACATTTATTATGTGTATATAATAAATATTCAGTTTTATATGTCATCTATATAAGCAATTTATTTTATATTTATTTATCGAAGCCTATATTCTTTATTATTGCACTAGAACTGCACTAAAGTTTTTCTCAATTTCTATGTGGCTTATTATATTTTTATCAATACTAAAGTCAGATATATTAATATAATTATAAAACTCAATTACTTCTTTCTGTATTAATGTTACCCAATTCATAATTTGCATATTTTATGTCGCTTGTGCATTAATATTAAAATCTACGACAGAGACATATATCTGAACATACTGGTAGTGTCCCGGTGCTAAGCTACGCACAGCGACACCGCCGTGGCTACTTTACGCGAGCCGGCGAGTTGCCAGGGATTGAGATTATTCCCGGTAAAAAATTTGTCATCCATGAATATGTATAAATATGTATAAACATACATAAACACGCATAAATATTCATAAACGTGTATAATTATATATGAAACATGTCCATACATGTTCATACATTCTTCTTTTTTTTGTAAAATTACTTTTTAGTATAATAGAAATAATAATAGTAAAGCGAAAATATAAAAAATAATTAAAGGGATAATTTTACTACATATTCATATATGAAAAATTTTTTACCGGGTTGGATCTCAATAAGGGCTGAACTGATCAGGTTCTAAGTGTGCTCGATTGCATCCGGTCTGAATATACGAATAAAACCTAAGTACTCGGGGTTGACTAATTGCGCTTACATTCAGAACAAGTTTTTTTTCTACAATAATCACTCGCACTTGAAAAATTATAAATATGAAACAATAATAAAAATACTTTTAAACAAAAAATAAACACGATTGATTTATAAATATATGAAATATATGTCTACGAAAGGATCAAGTCAAATTCTTACATATCTCTTTTTTTTATTTATTATACATATACATGAAGTATTTTAATAATATGTGAACAAAAATAGCAAAAATTCATAAACTAAATTTTGACCGCTTTTAATCGCAGCATATACAGTTAAGTTTAATTAAAAATAATCGATACACTAAGTAAATAATTAAAGTAGAGAAATTTGTTTAAGAATATTATCTTAACTACAGAACTTAAATTATTCTGCTTTTAAAATTTTAATCAAAATAAATCTAAATTAGTATAATGAGAATTAATAACAAAGACACAGGCCTTTCATTAATTAGAATGTCTATGCCGTCAGTTTAAGATTAAAACGCAGAATTAACGCAACACTATAAAGGGTATATAGTGTGTGTGTGTGTGTGTG